CCCCCCCCCCCCCCCCCAAAAAAAAAATTTCGGTCAGTGTACCATTTTAGGGGCCAACAAATTTTTCCGCACATACCAAAATTTTTCGCAACATCATACAAATTTTCAAAAAAACACAAAATTTACAACAAAATTGACTAAATTTTCGACTAAATTGACATAATTTGTCCCATTTATTTTTATTGCAAACCAAAATTGCCCGACTGTTGATCGAATATCGCCCGACTGCCCCAAAACGTACGCCTATGTACACTGTATAGGTCTAATAAATTTATAAAAATTCCGCTCGACATTTCTGTCTAGAAACCCCATCAGCTTAGCCTTATGGCATTTCAAGCACTTACAACTTTTGAAAAATCACTATGTATATATAACCTTAAGCCTGTTTTATATACGTCGAATTTCGGTCGCGTCGAATGCAATTCAAACAATAGATAATGAGATGATAAACCTCATTAAGCTTCATTATCTATTGTTTGAGTCGCATTCAACGTGACCGAAATTCGACGTATACTGACAGGCCTTAGCGTCCTCAGTTTGCCAAAAAGTGAGCGGGCGGGCGGGTTTTTTAAATTTATACTAATTCTTAACGCCTTGGTTGTCTAGGGCCGAAACTGGATTTTCTTACGCAGTACTACAGATATTTCTTTAATTTTTTTATATATTTCAAAATATGATTCATACGGTCATTTTCGCACGCATTCACTATATTAAATTTATTAACACAATTGACAACAGAAATACTGTATATATTAAAGCCCGTTGGTCAATAAAAGTTGGGTTTTTTGAAATAAAAAATTTAAAAAAATCCTGAGCAGGGCCTTTTTGTGGGCGGGCGAGGACGCTAACCAACTATTTTTTATGTGGCCTAACGAAGAGCCTTGCATTGGCTCGAAACATCGTAGTGAATTGATATTTGAGAAGTTTGGAAACAAATTCTCATCCCATTGATGTCATTTTGCTATATTCATACAGGCACTGCAGTTTATCTCAAACGCCAACGCGATATGTCACAGTCGTCATCGATCAGTACTTTACTGTACTTGACTTTTTCCTCCCACATTTACTGACATTCTGTCACATATCACGTATCTACTGTTTTGCAAAGTCATCTGGCCAGATTCATAGCTGCCAAGTTATTGTTGAAAAGGAGGGAGATTATATTACAATATTTGTGGCTTTCCTGCTTGCATAGGACGCGAATTTATTAACTAACTACTGGCCGAACAACCACGTCGCTCATGAAATCTGCAACGAGATCTGAGGAATGCTATGAGCTAGGTCACTGACGTTATCTAGGCCAGATTCGCTTTTACCTTCCCACAAAATTTCCCCCTTTACGGCTGAACAGTTTTCGTTTTATTTTGTCATATTATCGCAAGATATTCCTGTTAAGATATCCCTGAAACCCGTCAAATTCGTTGTCGTGACAACTGACAAGCGAATCTAGCTGGAGCATCACTACCCAGGCCTGAATAGCCGGATCACTACCGGTGTAATTGCATGGGGCCTAAAACTAGGTACCGACCGGCCGCGTGTCGATATACTGCAGCCTAATTAGTCATATGCCTATGACTATGTAGGTCTTTTAACATCAATTATTCAGTTTTGAGTAGTCACTAGTGCTTGCTTGAAGCATTTCAAGGCTCAAACTAGCTGTCCTTTCAAAGAAGTATAACTGATAACTTAAACCATCGACATCAGTAGAAACATTTCCAACACTCGTCATATGGCCGAGTAAAATCCCCCAAATCCCCAGAAAGCTTAATTACACGTCTGTATTATATAACCGGCTTTATATGATATCGTATACATTCATTAATCGTTGTACTTACTGTATATAACGTTAATTTCATCTTTCTTCGATAAAATCGTCGGTAAAACTTTATCATATTGATGTTTAGTATAATGTTTGTCAGTCTTATCGTCTTCAGCTTCAAAATATTCAGTTGCAAATTTGAAACCAACCAATATCAGTATTCATTAGAGATCTTTAGCATATAAGCATATTAAATATGCTAACGAACAACTATCAGTAGAAATTCCCAAGGGACCAGTACTGAAATAGCTCAACTGCATATTTGCCCGGCATTATTTCCTCTGTCATTTCCAATTAGCCTATATAAATTAAGTTAAAGACGGCTGGTGTAAAAATCAACAGCAAGACTATTTATTGCCAGTATGACCGATATATAACGATTTATTATTTTTCATTTAGATTTTACATTATTTCAATCTTCAAATTTTTTCCAGGCCCTTCAATTTGAGAAGTTAATCAGTTTCGCTCGTATGACCGATCAGCTCTAACATATTTTCGATTTTTGTTTCAGCCGTGTCCCTGAAGTATCGGTTGAGTGATTGATCGAGCTCTCTCTCCTCCGCAGAGGCTTTAATTTAATTTAAAGAATATGAAATTCGAAGGAATTGAAATTGCGCTAGATATCCTTTAAAAGCCTCTGCGGAGGAGAGAGGATCGAGCTCGTGTTGTTCGTTTGTTTTGGCTTTCTCGGCAGTTCGATCATGATCTGTAGATCTGGGCTGAATTTCGAATTCTGCGTCTGAACTAGTGTCTCAAGCTTTCAGTTGATTTAACTTCTGCAGGCGATATATCGTTCTTCTGCATGCATGGGTTATAGGCCTGTTTGAAACGTCGCGCTTCTCATGTGCCCGTCGAACGCATTAGAAAATAGAAACAATAGATAATGAGGCATTTCAGCTGATTTATTTCAGCTGATTTACATCTTACTATAGTATTTCAGTGGACATGGACGTCGATGTTGTTTCGCTTGCACATGCTGTCTTTTGGATGTTCTTAACTAACTCTTAACGGGGGCTTGAATTTTGAACATTTTCCAGGTTTCAAATCACAAGGTCTGCACGGATGACTTTGCAAAACAGTCGATACGTGATAGGAAGCGAATTTTTAATTCTTCAAATAATTAGACTGTAGCGTGAGAACGGTAACAAGCATTAAGTGCAGTAAAGTACCGATGGTATTGTAGTATTAGTGAATTCCGACATTTTGTGTTGTCTTTTGAGATTATATTATAGTGCATAAATCGGAAATTGTTCATTGCGGTGAAGTTGACTATAGCAAAATATTAGTTCAGACGTGATGGGAAGAGAACTTGTTTCCAAACTTCTCACGGGTTAAGACAACTAAATTCCTATACTGTAGAACGGAAATCTTATACAACTGACTGCCCTCCATAAAAGGTCGAAGTTTATCAGGCTATTAATACAATAAAATTCATCATGATCCAATTTAGTATCGACTGCGCTATACCCATGATTAATGTCGTGTTTTGCGTCAGGCCGAGTTGCGGTTGAATCAGAAGCATTAAAGTGTAAAGCATTTTTCAATCTCATTTGAATATGCAAAAAGTTGCTCGCGAATTAGTTTTTCAATCATTATGGACTGACAAAATATGTTCTCTTATATAAGCGTATTCGGTTCCTATATAAGACTGACATTAAAAAACTCATTAATTAATAATTCACGAGGAAAACGGGAGGCCACTATATTCGGTGGTTTTATATGTGATAAAGAATCATGTTCATTTACATAAACTTTAGCTTTGATTTTCTATGCTTAGACAACGTTTATTTTTGAAATTACTCCGCCAATTAACCGATCAGAATCATCAGATGCGTCGTTTTTTAAGCCATTTAAAACACTCGCAGTATATATGATAAAGCACTCGATCCTGCTCGTGTTTTAATAGTACATATATGCTAGTGCTAGTATGTACAAAAATAATGTTGGGCAGTTCTATTGTGCAGGCTTGATGTGAAATACAAATTACTGACTGATAAATTTAAACAGTTAATGAACACTTTGAATGTGATTATTTTAATGATTCCAATGGCAATATCAGCTACATCGGTTATGATTCAATTACAATCAGTTTATGCCCACACAGAACATCAGCAAACTCATATCTTAACTATAAATAGTCTGCGCATTATCACTGTATTGATTTCATTACCTCTTCTATTCGTCTCTATTAATCACTTCTAAAAAAATATTTTTTGTAAATAATTTAATGATATAGTGCTATTAAAGGGTCTTGAATCTTGAATCCGCTAGGCGGTTTCTAGGAAACAACCGAACAAGGCAGGGGGCACGGAACCGGGGGCGGGCATTGGGTGCATGTCCCCCCCCCCACACACACACTTTTTTAAAAGTGAAAAAAGGGCCCTTTTTTCTGGGCTAAAGTGCCCCATTTAACGAACGAAAAAAGTATTTCTTGAATGAACGCCCTCTTTTGCTGGAAAGAAAGTGCCCTCTTTCTCGGTGTAAAGGCCAGATTTCCGACGTTATAGAGACTCATATTTTCAAAAATTTTCGTTCAGCTCGTGAACGACATAAAATCGTTTGATTTTGGTCATATACAAAAGTGCCCCTTTTGGCCAATGCCCCTCCACTTTCGAAATGCTTCCGCGGCCTCTGGAACAAAGCATATATATTTTGCAATGGGACTGACACGGGAACAACAAAGCTAAAAATCATAGCCATAGGAGTAAGGGATTAACATTTAAGCTGGGAGAACAAGGGAGCATGCATGGTGAAGTATTTGTGGGGAACAAGGGAAAAAAGGAAATCTTTTAAGAACACGGGTACACACTTCATAATTCATAAACAACCTCCTCATACTGCGCTAAATTCATATGATTGATAACATTAATTGTGAGTTTTATTCACCATAATTTAATTGCTATGGTTGGATTGCATGTCCTACAGGCGTAAATTAAGTCTCTGGGGCATGGAAAACACATCGAAACTCATCGAACCTAGCTCAATATTCAATAATTAAATTATGTTGTACTTCGTTGTTATCTATTATATTGTCATCATTAGACACTAGAACAAAACTGTATTGTCAGTCATTTTCACTGATCTGCTCCTTAATATCGATATTCAGCAAGTCCGCTTGTAGTTCGTCCGAACTTTTTGTACTCATGATACTATCACTCGACATAGAATATCCTGACAAGCTTGTTGCTCTCGAAACGATGTAACCGTTTGATTCATTGAAGCTCTCCTCCATCTGTTCACAATTTTCTGTGGTACTTTTACCATTGTTTTCGGTACTTTTCCGATAATCTACGGTTCTGCTACAATTGTCGGCTGTTCGAATTCTTTCAAAATGATCTGTCAGTCTTTCGCACCAGTCTGAGTTTGTAAGACTGTACTCGGCGGGAGATCCAACAACGGGCGGCTTACTACAAGTTTCACAGCCTTCTGTTTCGTACGGTATAGATACAAATTGATACATGCTGTTACGTCCTTTCACCTGAAAATATAGAAACTGAAAATAATTAATGCGATGTAATGAGAATTACTGTTGTGAGTTGTTTTTATATTTTTCCACTGACCCTGCTGAAATTTGTAGATATTCAAAGTATATTACTTCCAACTATGAAGAAAAGATTAAAGCTCGACAACTGTCTCTCTGTAGCTCAGTTGATTAGAACTAGAGCTCTGCACCGGAATCGCAGGGCCGCAGGTTCGATTCGGTAGATATTGCCAATAATAAGGAAACTTTGGATTAATAAGGATACAACTACCTGCATGAAAAAATAGTTCTCCTTCTATGAAGCTCCCCTTGTATTTTCAGGCATAGTCACATCCCTGTCATCCCTATCACTTAACTAATGGTTGCTTTCCTCGACAATGACATGCAAATCTAACTCATTATTCATGCACAGCCATCTGTACCAAACGATTGAGAATCTTTGGAATATATTTTTGAATTCTTAGCGATGATATTCCCCACAAGACCTCGAGAAATATTTCGAGTATTAAATTTCAGCGACGGCTACCACGCCTCCGTGCCCCAGGTCTATTAAAGAAAAATATGTCACCTTTCTTAGCATTCCTGTGTTGTAATAATTCCTCATCGCTCTAAATAGTTTGTACTTGTCCATGTTCGGTTTATTTTTAACAGTTCCCCATAGCTTGGCAAGTTCATTGGTGTTTTTTAATGTAAATATCCCTTCAAGTTTGTTGGTCCAGGATATAACTGAAGCACATTCATCGTCTTCCAGTAAACCAAAGAGAAATTCCCACAGATAAACTGACTTTCTAGTACTAGATCGCGAGTACTTGCTTCTTTTTGTAGTCAGTGGTCCAGTATCTATATGAACAGGCATTGCGATTGGTTCATTATATAAATAAAAGAGAATATATAAACTATCTTCTATATAGAAATTATCTTCTAAAAATGAGTCATAAACACTGATCATTTTTGTTTCAGAAATCTAATAACAAAACTTGTTTATATCAAATAGGTATTTAACATTTCTTGGTTAAATTCTATAGGCTAGAAAATTATAGAAGAAAAGTTGTAGTTATAGAAGGGTTATAGTGTAGGCTTAATTCCTAAATGGGCAAACTGAAATAATTAATTAGATTGGTCAGTTCGGGTGATCTTAAATTTGTATATATTGCTTGTCGTTAATAAAGTTATTTCTCAGATGGCTTAATGAGTAACTCGGTGAATAATTCACGTGGTATAATATAGTTTGACTTGCTAGTATGCATGGTATAATAGTATGCATGGTGTGGTGCGGCCATGGATGTAATGATATTTTGGATGGTGGGGTATGCGGATATATGGTGTAGTGTGAGCTGAATGGGATGAAATGTTGTGGCTATATGTACGTTTTGGTGTGATTTGGGTGTGATGTAGTATGGAATGGACTGGTATTGGATAATGTGGCATGGTATGGTGTTGTATGGGCATAATATACTCTGATACGGAATGGTATGGAATCGATGGTGTAATATGGTATACTATAGTAGAGTAGTAATTACATATGCATGGTATAGGATAAACACCGAGGAAGGACGCGCAGCGTCCGAGGGCATTATCCGACATAATCACATAAATCCCGACTTTCGAGGTGTTTATCATATTTAATTCATGGTTGAGGAGGTTTTCCAACAAAGTTTTGTTTGATTTGTCTGCTTTGAACGTCGATTTTCTGAGTTTTCCTTCATCTTTTCAGCTAACTAATATTCAAGTCGGTACATCAAAGAAAACCGACTCAATAATGAATTAAAGTATGCTATTGTGTGGTATGATATGGTGCGGTATGAACTGGAATGGTAAAAGATGGTGTGGTGTGCATGGTATGGTATGATGCTATGGTGTGGTATATGGTGTGGTGTGTCATGATATAGTGTGGTATGGTTGAATGGCATGGTATACCTGTGTGTTACTGATATACTGATAACTAATAATATGATAATAATATGATAATGATAACTGATAACTAATTAAGTCTAAGATGACATTATTATTATTATTATTATTATTATTTTTATTTTTATTATTATTATTATTATTATTATTATTATTATTATTATTATTATTATTATTATTATTATTATTATTATAATTATTATTATGTAAATACATAAAAAAGCAAATCGTGAACATATGCATACGAACATCATATTATGTATTTTGTAAACGAAACAAGGTGTGGGATAACCCAAAATTAATGTTAATATAATCCTTCTTAAAATAATTATTGTACAATAAACATATAGTATCAATTCAAGTAGACATTGATAAACTACCTGTAAAGCGAGGTTTATCATTGTAGTTGTATATATCCTAATAATCAATAAATAAAGTTTCCATTATTATTATTATTATTATTATGCTATTGTCAACATTATCCAGGAAAATGGGATTCAAGTTACGCAGTCGAGTCTAAATTCAATATGCATGAGAAGCACAATCCTATGATATAAAATAATATATATACAAGTACATTTTCAATAAATAGGATGACTTTAATAAAATATGTAAATAGAACGTAATCCCATCAACAAGTTGTTCCATTGCCAAAGATTAAAGTATATGCTCTTTGTGAAATCGTCACATGAATCCTTCAATTACTTATCCAATATATTAAGAACACTCAAAATCATATCCTTTGGCCAGTTTATGGGAAGTCGGACATAATAACTTGAACAATCGTTTGACTTGCAAGTGTACGTATAGACTCCGCTCAATGAAAATGGGATATCGTTTAATTTTTCACTGATCATATACATATTAAACTAATAGGTTTTAAATTATAACTACCTACAATATATTTGAATTCAACACTGGAAAATATTTTGACTGCAAAACGTAAGTGCACCCAGAGTGACGCAACTGATATCAAGTAAATAGCTTAAGACCCCGTTTACAATGTACTGGATTCACTGGTCACGACATCTTCGTTTGCTGCCCAGGAGCAACGTTTAACAACAAAGATTTACTCTTTCTATAACTTCCGCATGCTTCTGCTTGTTACTGCCATTATAAATGTTTAGGCTATTTCATTGACTGTTAAAACTGACGTCGTGACCAGCGAATCAGGTAGGCTACAGTGTAAACGGGGCCTAAATTTATAAGGAAATTATTATTTTACTCATTTTTTTTTTGAGAAAAGGAAAAGTTCACTAAGAAAGATAAGTAAATTTAGTAAACTTTATTCAAAATAGTTGGGTAAATTTGCTCATTTTGCTTACGTTTTGACTCAAACTACTCAGAGATGTTTTACAGTGTTAACTTAAATGCTTAACTGAACCAATGATATACAGAATCATGCACGTGCACTTGCATTTGTCACTATCCAAATGAATCTGAGACAACCGAATGAATGTATGGGTTGTTTTAAGGTGGCACTGTCATTAAAATTTTCAGTTGTCTCAAACGAAAGAACTCCTAAAATTATAAAGTAACTTCTTTTGAAAAAATTGGTTCCCATATATGGTCGCTCTTGAGATATTTAATTTTGTTCGAAACCATGTGACGTCATCTACTCAATTACATATATAACACATATATACCATTATATATCAGTGAATGTTATTTTTGACGGATTTGTTAAATAAAACCCAGTATGCTTCATGATGTAGGTTTAACTAACGCGCCGCATCGTTGGAAATATTTGATAAAAATAGCAAAGATACACAACAATTACTGTTAATCTCATTACATGTGTGATTGAGTAAATGACGTCACATGGTTACAAACAAAATGAAATATCTCAAGAACTGAGCATGGGAACAAAAATCTTCAAAAGAAGTTACTATACAGTTTTAACTGCATTTTCAAGCCGACATGATCAATTATTTAAATGCAGGAGTCTTCAAAATAAATAGTGCTTCCAAATTCTTCTCTCATGTGTAATTATATAACAAAAACTATAATTTTATACTTTATACAGTTAATCAGGAAGTCAGTAAAATGTAACTGATGGTTGTTCACCATGACTGCATGCAGATAACTGTAAGTCCAGTGTATTCTGGAATGGTTTGCTAAGACCCATTTTGCAATAAATTTGAAAGATGTTTTCACAGAAATATTTCCCAGAAATTTTCATAAACATTGTATCTATAGGCCCATCATCTATATATTGACCATAAAGGGAAGCCAGAGAATTACTCATGCCTGCCTAGTGCTGACCCAATATTTTGTTTATTTATTTTCTTTCATTGGATGTCTTTTAAATACGTGCCTTGCCTTGAAAATCCACTGAAAACAATATGTATAGATGAATATATGGTACTGGTGAAATGAATGGGAATTAAGATAGTGATCAGTGCACATTGTATCAGGGAAGGATCTGCAATGAAATGCATGGTGAAAATATACATGTTGTTCTCCAAGTTGTGTAGGACGCTTTTATAATATGATAAAAATGTTTTGAAGGATGCTTTGATATAAACAATAGTCCACATTAGACAAACATGTTTCCAATCAATACTCAAATGACTTGTAAATTTGATTTGAGGTATGAATTGCATATGACTGAACAAGACACAAAACTTGGACAGCTTACATATGCGGATCACCGGTGTAATATATAATAAACATGTATCTATAAAAAAATAAATCATAAATCATAAATAATGAATAATAAATCTGTATCTAATAAACCTGTGTCTATAAATAGGTTATAGACATGCAGTACGTTTCTAAAGATTTGAATGACAGAAATAATACTCACTGAGATAATCTATATTACCTATATATTATTTCTATGGTTTGAATCGAGGTTTGAATAATGAAAATTAGTTACATAGGCTACTGTAGCATGACCTGTTGGCTGTGGCTAGCTTCGCCACTGAGTATATACAGTATAACATGACCAGTTGCCATCGCTAGGCTTCGCCACTGACGACACTACTATACTATTGATAATTATATTCACTGCTTAATTTCTCTAGGTTCAAAGTCACGGTGTTGGTCGGAGTAGCTATAGTGCAATATGTTCATTTTAACTTTTAAGAATGCAGTGATCTCGACCAAAGTTGCATGAGATATACTGGTATAGATCGAGACGCCTTTGACCATCCACGTACTAACTTCTTGATGAAACAAATTTCCATGAAATTATATCACTGTATTGCCAGCATTGCATTTTAAGCATTACACTTATGAAGCATGTTATGGTATATCTAAAGCCGTAAAGGTTATAACATTATATGATCGAAAAGGCCAGCTAAATATATTAAGTTATTGTGGCATGTGTATGCATGTATATAATATTCATGTATAGGCCTATATAATGTGTGAATGCACCGGTCTGTATTTGATGTGACAATATTAATATCAGTATAGAAATTTGATCAGTGTAAAACAATATTCAACTGGCGAAACTTTGCTTGGCAGAATAAGATTTTGGACGTCTTCGTAATAAAATAGATGAATTGAAGGAAGCCATTTAACTTTAAGTGTCGTTTTAATACGGAAGCGAGACAGCCCCAGCAAGAGGGCTGATATTTCTCGACATCAGATAAACACAAGGTGAAAAGTTGCCCTTAGTTGCATGAAAAAAGGCGTTCATGCAAAAAAGCAGAAAATGAATATATAGCCTTATATAGGGTTGTTATTTGTATGATGCCTGTACATGTACTGATGCAGTATATGCATGCATATCAGTATGACGACTTAATTACTTTTACCGAATATCGCGTGCAAAGCAGATTACAGATAGCACTTTGAATGGTACAGTTATTTCCGTACAATGCCGTTTCGATGGTTATGTATAAATACGCCTATTAACAAAAAATAGTTTCACTTACCCCCAGCCATAGTAATTGTTTTCCTTTCTTTGTTGATGTGGGACTGAGCCAGTGTGACCTGTGGCACTGATCACATGTATACTGAACAAGTTCTAGAACAGTGCTAGACTTTAATGAATGATTTTGCTGACCGTGCTTAAAACGTCAACGCATTAATCAGGTAATTGGGAACACATTCTAATTACTCAGTCTTATGCCAGGACACTAGCCAAGCGATCCTTCCTTAATATAGGATAAAATCTACCCAGTTTTTACCACCTTTTTAAATTCCCCACTGTGAATTTTATTGTTGACATTTCAGACATTTCACTGCAATATGATATTCAGCTCTTGGAATTAGTATGCAAAAGTATTCGTCAAAGGAATGTTTGGACTTCAGCCAGAATTGAAGCTGTAGTCGCTTCCCATCATGATCAGAGAGCTTTAACTGCTTTAGATATAAGTGACTATACTATGACTACGAATTTCAAATTCATTTACTTGGATACGCCATATCTAACTCTTACGCCATCGCGTACTGACACCTTATAAATTTCGTAGCCGTCGCCAAATTGACAATAGGGAGCTTTAGATTTGACTACGAGTACGACTACGAGTACGAGATTTGATCGCGTGCGAGGAAATTACCTATTCGTTTTCGTTTCCATTCAAATGTTGCTTTTATAACAGTAAACCAACAACTAGATAAAAAGTTTCATAAACTAAATCTCCTGCCGACTAAAATCCCCTACAAAACGTGTAAATAAGTCATAACATTAAAAACAGGCCAGATATTTAGCACTAACATATTATTTGCGCCGGATAAACGCTATATAAATGCTACAAATTATTTTTGGAAAACAAAAAAAAGTCAACTTTCTTTGTTTTTTTTTGAAAAGTCGTCGTGAGGACTACGAGGTTTCTCCACAATTTCGTACTCAGATGGGCGACGGCTACGACTTTTTCGCGTCAGTACGGGATGGCGTAAGCATACAGCATGCGTTTAGCTTGACGAATCTCGTACTCGTAGTCGTACTCGTAGTCAAATCTAAAGCTCCCTAATGGGATTTTTGAAAAATCTCGTAGTAAAACACAGGCACCACTACGAGATATGGTCTGGAGATATGACGTGCGTACATAATGGGGTTAGGCCTGTTTTATACGTTAAATTTTGGTCGCGTCGAATGCAATTGAAACAATAGAGAATAAAATGATAAACCTCATTAAGCTTCATTATCTATTGTTTAAATTGAATTCGACGCGACCGAAATTCGACGTATAAAACAGACTTAAGAAGATGTTCACACAACAAATCCTGTAGTCGTACCCGGGCTTGAGGTCAGATCTAAAACTCTTTATTCTGTCGCAATAATGAACGTCCCCGTTCATTATTATTCGGAGACAAACGAATCTCAGGATGGAGCCTCAAATTCAAATTATAACAATAGGATAATTTCTCTAGCGTCACAGTTTATTTTGAGACGCCCTGGCTGTATAATGTGGTATGGGGGAACGGATTACGCTTCACATGATAAAATCATGAGCTAGCGAAATTTGATTAATTAATTTAAGGTACCGGTTCAACACGCTCAGATGGTTTTGCTGAATATGTAGCAAATTGAATTATATTTGAATTTTTGCCAGGAAATCGACAATTTGATTCAACAATTAATAACCCTTTAAGTGGCAATTATTGAATTTCAAATAAAAAAAATATTTTCTTGCAAAATTAACCTACAAATGAGCCTAGAAAGCCAATTAAAAAGAAAAAAAAAATCCCCTTGAATTTCAGGGGGGGGGAAATAATTTGTTGCAGATATGCTACATTGCTGCTTAAGGGTAAAAAAGATACAAGAACTAGAAAATATATTTTATTGAAGAACCAACAGATTTTTGTTGGTTTTGTGATAACATACAGATGTAAATGCATTTTCCTTGAATTATATATAATACAGCATGTTATATATTGGTATAGTATATTTATAATATATATATATATATATATATATATATATATTATTATATATTTAGTATATATAGTATATATCGTATATATAGTATATATCATATACATCGTATAGATAGTATATATAGTATATATAATATATATAACATATATAGTGTATATAGTATATAAAATATATATAATATATATATAATATATATAGTATATATATAAATATATATATTTGTATATATAGTATATATATAGTATATACAGTATAATATATTCGCAACATTAGATATAGAAAAGTTCTTGTTCACAATGAAAGTTATTTATTATGGTTGTCCAGAAAACAGTTTTCTCCCTCTCTAAGCAGAGACAAATCTTACATTTGCCGCAAAATATTTTGGAAAGCCCATCTTTACAATGGCGACATCGACTGCGGTTACCATTCACGGGGTTGGGCCAATGTCCAAGTTGGTCATACCGTGTATCATTTGATGGTAAAGGTGTGGTGGGTTTGCGACCAACCTTTGCTGATGGACCATCTGCCTCAGACAATTTTCATTTGCTTGGTCTGCTTACTTACGACTGGTTGTTTCCATGGGAACAACTTTGTTGGCACTGATCAAACTCTCGGAAATTTTCAAAACAAAGTCCAGCAATGACAAGCTTTATTTCTTTCGAATTCTCAACTGATCACAATGCCTGTGCAGTAGAACAGCCTGGCATTGACCTTTGTTTGTATCAGACTTGAAGTCCATGGTGCTACGTACCGCTTTATTGCCGTCCTTGTTGGGTTGCAATGAACATCCTAGAAGGCGGAATAAATATTCAGCTCACTCCCTACTAGACTATGGCTCTATATATTTGTAACATGAATTGTAATAGTGCTTTGGTGTCAACTTTTTATGTTTGAGGAAACATGACGAATCCTATTACCGGGATGAAACCTACAACTTCCGGCAGAGTGTTCGCTTGTTTATTTTCACATGAGAAAGTCATAGGGTTCGCAGCCGAGAAACGAGGCCACTATATTCAGAGGGGAGAACTTAATATGGATCTGACCACTGTAGCACTGAGGCTCATGAACATGATGAAAAGGGATAAAATCAAGCTTACAATAGTTTTACTAATACATAGTATATACACAGTATGAGCATATATACATAAACACTATAAAACAGGGTAGAATAGAATGTTCAACTGGTTTAACCTGCAGCCAAGAGGCCCAATACTGAAGACAAAAGAAATATTTACTTGTTGCAACTATATTCAAAGGAAATTGCAGTAAAATACAGCACATGTTGTGTCTTTTATTAAAAATATAGTGTTCATGTAATCTGAGCTTCAGTGACCACTTCGCGGCAATGTAGCAGATATGCTACAAATATATTTATGAAATTATTCAATACACACAAACGAATTTATACAAACACACAAATACGATATGAAAAGACTGCCTTATGTCAAATTATAATATACTAAAACTTATACCCTAGAGCGCTTTACAAAGATAGAACATTGTCACGAACTTAGAGCTTTAAAACTTACCGAAATCACTGTGATTTGGACATCATTTTCTCGGTCTAAAAGCCACTTTGGTAAAAATTTTCGCCATTACAACAATGTCAACAACGTGGGCTGTATTGCATTGTGGGTAAAAGAAGAAACTAGACCCAGACTGCGAAAAATTCGCGCACTTTTCTATATGTGGAAATTGTATTTTCGTATAAAAAGTAATCCACGGGCGTCCAAAAGGGACAAAATTATGAACACACACAGTGACACAATTAAGTCCAATGGCAATGCTTGTAAACACTATGAAAGCTCACACATGTAATACGAAAAGCTCACAAAAGACATTCGAACCACGCGCAAATAAGCCGAACCTCTCCGCACACAAGTCGAAATGTCACACACACAATACGAACCTCTCACACACAAGTCGAAATGTCGCACACAAAAAAGTCAAACTTTCTTCGTGGGGGGTTCGGCAAATTAGCATGTTAATTTATTTAGGACGAAAAAATTTGCAACATTTCCGAACTTTGTTTTATACGGCGGGAGATTAGAATGTTGCGATTTCCCGCGTTTTAACTACAAAGTACTCTTTTGGTTCACGTGTTTGGCTTAGCATGGAAGAGGATAACTTGCATGTGACGGAAGATAGAATTCAGTCGTTGGTCCAGGGAATAGTTGGCGAACTATTTGTCCCAGATAATAGGCCCAGGCAAGATCAGCAATTTGGTGCCACTGAAACTTGCCGAGAACTAGACTGAGCTGATAACGGGAAACGTTGACGCCGAGAAACAGTGTAAATAGTCCTGTTGTTACTTCCTCGACATTGTGTAGTCTTTGCAGGTCGACTTTATATTCGTTCTTTTCAGAAGAGGTTTTAACTGTATTGGCGTGATTAACAATCTTTGCACGGCGTCGAGTATTAATACAACGACTCCGCCAGACCACGTTGTCTCGTTGGTCCAGGGCCAGATCTTTGTTGCACGCCATAGTTTAAATTGCTCTTTTGTGCTGTTTCCTTACTGACGCCTGTATTTAAACTTGAACTCGTACACGAAGTCAATGAAGTAATAACAGGACCATTCAGACACTGCCGGTGTCCCAGTTGATTTGGACCCCCGTAGATATGGACCCCCCGGTCCAAATCTACTAGTGGATATGGACCCCCGGGGGTCCAAATCTACTAGTATATATGGACCCCCGTTGGCGGATTTGGACCCCCCTTCAAAAGTTAAATATATGTAATGAAGGCCAGTATGAATGGCATTGTTGTTATCAGCTCTAGTTCTCGGCAAGCAAAATCGAATGTTTATTTCATGATCATCTTCAGTGGCACCAAATTGCTAATCTTGCCTGGGCCTATTGTCTGGGACAAATAGTTCGCCAACTATCCCCCGGACCAACGACTGAATTATATCTTCCGTCACATGCAAGTATCCTCTTCCATGTTGTTGTATGCGATGTAAAGTATCCTTATTCAAGCCAAACACGTGAGCCAAAAGAGTGCTTTGTAGATAAAATGCGGGAAATCGCAACATTCTATTCTCCCGCCGTAAACAAAGTGCGGAAATGTATGCAATTTTTTTCGTCCTCAATAAATTAACATACTAATTTCCCAAACCCCCACGAAGAAAGTTTGACTTTTTTGTGTGCGACATTTCGACTTGTGTGTGAGGTTCGTATTGTGTGTGAGACATTTCGACTTGT